GAAGATCATATTCTCCTTTCCTCAACACCAACCTGAATTGAAGCATAATCTCTGAAAACTCTTCATAAAAAACATAACCAGATGCTTGAGAACAAGAAATGGACAAGTCCTAGCGTTTCAAGAAAAGGGAAACCAGATAGGAACCATTTTTGTGTAATTCCTAAACTCTGAACTAACATTTCTCGCTAATGTACACCCCATACCAGGGCTAACTCCACTGCAGGAATGAAAAACAACTTCAAAAGTTATTTGTGGTCATTCAACATTGATCTGACATGGACACACGCTTACCCTCACTGTCCTGGACAGGAAAAGGGCATTTTTTTACTTCCTGTGGCTGGCAAAGATGACACTTCCTTGCTCTCCAGAAGCATTAAGATGCTAGGGACAAAAATGTGCCCAGTGTTAACCTCTCCAGAAGATAAAAAATGTGCTTCTCATTGTCCTGCAAAGATGTACCCTGCTGGTTTGACCTTCTTAACTTGGTGAATCAGTCCTTTGTGTGCTACCTGAGCTACAGCAGGCTCAACAGGAACAGCAAAAAGCACCTGAAAAATCTTTCTGGTTCTCTACATACCTTCACAGATCCAAACTGAAATTCATTTAACTTCTTTTTCAGTTATACCATGTTGGGATTAACCACATGTCTTGTTTTAGCAGTTGTTTTATTAAGCAATTTACGAACCCAGGAGATTTTTAGCCTCCTGCAAGGCTGCTGCCATCCCCAACCTGCAGGATCTTTTCTTAAAAAATAAAGAAATCTTTAACCACTGCCTTTAGAAATTAATGCTATCAGGAACCATACAGCTTTGTGGCAGTCTTTTTCTCTATGTCCTACTCACATAACCTTTTTAGGGTGAATTTAGTAGTAAATAAAAAACTAGTAATAGTAATTTATCTAGTTAACCCCTTCTCTTTGCCACATTTTCACAACAGGGTGACCAACATCTCTCCTTCCCCATGATATGATCTGCAATCCCTTAAGGAAGAGCATGACAAGGGGCAAAACTCTGATTCAGATTCAAATTTAGGCTTCAGCTCAATGGAGGCCAGTCTGACAATGACCCTAAGACCTTCCTGAAGTCTGCAGCAGTGATGATGGAGCAAATTGGATCAACTTCCTAGTATAATTTTTAAAAAACAAACAAACAAAAAACAAATATAAACAAAACAACAACCACAAAGTAGAAGTGAAAATTCATTGCTGGTACAATGGCAAGTCAGCCACTTGTAAATTTGAGGCTTTTGTGCTAAATAGATTAACCTGAGAAATATTCTTTAGAAAGTTCAAGGGGCGTATTTTTGCTCTCAGTTATGCTGAAGTCAAGGAATTAGGTCCATTGTCATTTCAAGAAGTATTTCACCTCAGTTTTTCAGAGCAGCTGCAGCAGACTGAAGTGGACCAGCAAGACACTCAGAAAGCACCACCCCTGCAGACACACACGAACCCTGCCCAGCTCCAGGCTAAATTCCTCCAGCATCAGTTACAACATCAAAATGACAAAACCCGATGGTTTTGTTCAAGAGAACATCTTTTACTGCCTAGGAAGAGGCACAAAGCAGCAGGTGGTATTTGTTTTTTCCCCTTGCTGAAAGAAGTCAGTCCCCTGTGCTCCAATTCCACATGGGATTCTCTTCCTGTCAGCTACGTGCAGCTCACTTGTGTGACAGCCCTGACACTCCAGCACAGAATGTACCCTGTGGCTTCACCCAGCTCCTTCCAGGGCTGCCACTGCCTCATAAATCAGCTGGCTGGAATAACTCAGGTGGGGCTTAATCCAAAGGCCACTGAAATCAGTGCAAGGCTTCCCTCTGGCTCCAGGCTGGTACCTCAGGGCTTTATAAAACCCAGGCACAGGAGTCCCTCTGCCCTTGGGGAGCAGGACAAAGCCTCAGCTTTGCCACAGAGCAATTAAAGACGTAGCACATCCCATCATCCCAACAGCTGGAGGTTTTCCTTTTCTCCCTGACCTCACACCAGATACAGAATGCTGCCAGATGGGCACAAGTTAACACTGCCATACTTTGTCCTGGCTTTCCCAGGCTGTGCCTGAAAAGTCTCCTTCCCCCCTGAGGTACCTGAGCTGCTGGGTCCCTGCCAGGCTGAGCACATGCAATAAATCTGACAGCCTGGGAGAGAGCTGGACAAAGTCCCATATGTCTGCTGTTGGAAATGTGCCCCCTAGACAGGTCTGCAGTGCTGCTCCAAACACATTGATAGGCCTCCAGAGATCCAGACAAATATAAATAGTTTAAAAAAATAACTCTGGCTGGACAACATTTCTGGGTGGGCACAGTGAGCCTGTGTGTGGAGTCCAGAAAGTCTGGAGTACCTTGAAATTATAAAAACTTAAAATGCAAAAATAAACCCACCACTTTGTTTTTGAGTTGGTGTCAATTTTTATCTGAGTTGCCTCTGCATGAACTACTAGCCACAGCACATACCAGGGGTGAAATTCAATGATGGTCTTTAAAAGACAAAATGAGTCCTCAAGATCAGCCTTAAGCATATGAACCCAGAATGCCAGGGCTACACGGCACAAAAAAAGTATCATTTCCAACATGGAAAATGGAAAAAAAGCCCAAAACACAATGCCTACCACCAGACCCCAAGGACTAAGCTTACACTAAGCTTCTCCTAATATTAAATAGCTGGACTTGAGTGGCTCCAGCATCACAGACACTTGGGAACCTGACAGCTCATGTATCCTCATCACTCCCAACACAGCCTCTGGCTCTGATGAAGCCATGATAACACCAAGCCACTTGGGCATGTGGTGCAGGAGTCCACACTGCTACATTTTCACCCCTCAGTCCTTCTTGGGCACAGCACCCCGCTAGAAACACAGGCTTCCAATGGACATTTATCCCAGGAAAAGGCAAAATGCTGAGTTACAACACTGCTGATGGGAATGGCTGCTGGCATTTCTGGCTTTGCTGTTCTGCTCAAAGCCTAAACAGTATATGAGAGACCTGGCAAGCATGTTACAGCCTACAGAGATATCCATCTCTCCATCTCCCAGCAGAAATGCCTTCAACCAGTGCTGGATTCCCCACAGCAAGGCTACAGCCCACTGATGGGAGGGCTGGGGAAGTGGCCTCTGCTCAGAACTTATCAAGGAACATTTCCAATCTCCAAGCTGTGCTTTAGGACTGCACAACCCACTTCATAAAACACCTGAGAGCATTCAGAGGCAAGTCTGGCAAGCAGATTTCTGCAGCTTATGACATGTGAACATGTTGTGGTTGTATTACTAAAGGCAAAGATGATCCCCAAATCCCTAAAAATCTGAATTCGCCAAAACCAATGCAGCATCACATATTCATTTGTTAATAACAGCCCCAGTGCTGCTGCCCTTCCCTCTGTGTGAGCCCTGCAATGGGGGCAGATGCTCAGCTCAGCTCCTGCCCCATTTGCCCTCTCTGGGGCAGGATTTGGGAGGTCCCAGCTCCCGGAGTCCCATCCCAAATTGAGAATCAGGCTCTGTTATTGTTAAGGCAAACCAAAAATAAAAAGTCCAGACTAAATTATTTTTAAGATCCTGAGATTTTTAAAGCAGTCTTGTGACTTTTAAGGGGTCTGAGTCATTGTGCTTGAATGCTTGAAGCTGGCAGCAGCAAAGGGAGGACAGCAAGATTTAGCGTACAGTAATTTATTGTTGAAAGCCTTCAACTGTGTGGGAAAGGGCATGGAGCACATCTGCAGTGATTAAGGGAAAAAGGGACACAGGCCCAAGCCCTTCTCCTCCAGCCAGGCTGCCACCAAGCTACCCTCCTCCATGAAAGCACCACACTAAACCCCAACAAAGCACCCCAGACATGGAAAAAACACTTGCCCATTAGCAGGATGGGACACAGGTGACACCCTGGGTTTCAGCCCCAGGGATGGCAAGGACAGAGTCCACTATCCCCAATCCTGGGGCTGTCCCTGCCTGCCCAAACCAGCCACACCACGTGGCTGATGCCCAAGGTCACCCTGCAGCCTCTGAATGCTCAACGAGAGCCTGGAGGTCTTCAAAGAGAAGTCAAGTGGCATTTTTCTACAGAAACTTCCAAATCACAGCCCCTAACATCCTCCACAGACCACCCAAGGCCTCTATTCCCAGCAAACCCCAAGGTCTCGGTCTTGTCTTTAACAGCTTTGCTCAAGGAATAAAAAAAAAATTAAGTCCCTATTCAGAATTAAGTGCAAAAATGAGAACAAAATGTGCTTAAACCTAGCTTTTTTTTTTAATCAATGCAGTGTTAATAAGCGAAATCAAATATTTTTATCACTGAAGACATTTCAAAAATAAATGGAGCCTTTCTCCCTGCTTATACTGGTGTAAATCATGAAATTTCATTAAAGCAAACAGCACTGTACAGGTGTAAAATGGGTTTAGTTAATGCAATGTCATTGCTAGTATTTTCCTGGTATTTCTTTCATAAATTGACATCATCATACCCACATCAAATTCTGGTCTCATTTCACCAAAGCAAATCTGTGACAACTGACAGCAAATGCTGCTCTTGCTGCCCACATAAAGTGACTGTAAATGAATAAAAAGCAACAGGCAGTACAAACACAACAACAACTGCACAGGGATGGAAGACAATTCACACATATACTACATATACCAAGTATCCCAGCTTTCAACTTATAACCTTCCCTTTAGTATATATAATATCTGATATATAAATACCTGGCAAACATAATCCCTTCTGCACAGCACTCACACAATCTGAGGATGAGCTTTCCCTTCTCTGATTTCCATAGAAATCATAGAAATATTGCCACCTTTGCTGTTTATATTTATCCATGTAGCAAAATAACTCGGAGCCAGACATTTACAGCAGTCTAAGGAAATTAGACAACACAAAACCCACAATGCTAGCTGAAGCTGATTTTTTGGCACATGTCTTTAGCTCAAGGACTCTTTGGAAGTTAAGGCAGAAATTCTCACAGCCACTGCTAACCAAAGGCCAGGCACCAGCACCATTTTCCAGCTGCAGTAACTCACCTCTCTGCTTCCAGGCGCATTTCCTCACGCTTTTGCCTCCTGAGCTCTCTGCGGCGTTCAAAGTCATCCATGGTGGGTGTTTAAGAGTTCCAAGCTCTGGGAAGATCCAAATCTAAAAGGGAGATGAGCACTTAGATGAGAGTGAAAACACAAGGGATGCATCTAACCAACTGAGTCCATTTAGTTTTGTTTTGCTGCCTTAACTTCGCTGTAACTATTTTGGTTTTCCATCAAAAAACTCAACTTCCTCGGTATTGTTGAGATAAACAAGATTAATGAAACGTCTTGTAGGATAAACATAGCCCGTGCCTGCATTTAGTTTCCTAGTTAAAATTAAATCAACATGCTTCAAGCAAGGACTGTATACATCTGCTAGCCACAGACTAGCTATTTGTAACGTCACAGGTCTTTTCCACTAACAAAAGCAACAATTCAGCAGGATTTTTAACTTCCAGCTTCCAATTTTTCACCGCAAGCAATAAAAGCACTGCACAAGAGAGTTCTTATTTTCTTTAGCTGCACAGATAATTAAAAGTTCTGCAGAAGTTAGTCCCCGGCCGGCTGTTCCCACCCCCACCTTCAGAAACGCAGAAAAAAGAAAGCAAAGAGAAAATGAGAGAAGAAAGAAAAAGAGGGGAGAAAAAAAATAAAAAAGAGAACAAAAAGAGAAACAAGAAAAATAAGCCCCTGCTTTTAAATACCAGCCAAGGGAAGTCAAACTATGTACAAACCCTGCTCAAAGAAGGAAGAGCAGCAATACTTTTTTTGTAGCTGAATCCGCGCGTTTTGCCCGTGCCCTACCTTCTTCTTTATGATTTAGTCCATGAAGTATTTTCCCCTTTACAGTTCTTCATATACAAAGCCTTCCCAGCCTCGGTTTATATCCCATCAAGCCGACTATTACAGAATTCCCCTGCAGCCCCCAAACCAAAAATGACTACCAGAAAAGGGAAAGCTGTTCTCTTTTTGTCCCTGCTTTGTTTACAGAGCTGTCAGTGGTTAGTTAAACTCTGCCTGGAATCTGGCATTTAAGGCCTGCTCTAAGATTGCTTCCTGTGCAGGGCTGGAGGCCTCAGCTTCCTCTGCAATCCCAGCCCCGGCGCTGCACTCTGAGCACTCCCACCCCCCAAAATCCACTTTTCCCAGCCCCTCACTCCGCAGGGAAAGCCCAGAACTTCCAAAGGTGGCTCAGGAGCTGCTTGCAGCTGGGGGCAAACCAAGCCAAGGTGCATTTGGGCATTATTTGAAGGGCTCTGTTTGCAGATGGAGATCTGTCTCGTGGCTTTATTTATGTTCCTGCCCACCGGGGCAACAGCCAAGTGCCCTCCCCATAAAATCACTGGCACCAGCAAAGCCTTGCTTGGCTTCAGGGAATTCGTGGCTTTTTCTGCCCCCTGTTTTGGATTAAAACACTGCTGAGGGCAGGGGTTTTGTGAAGGTTATTTTATTAGTTTACTTTCCCTGGGGGTATTTTCTTTTTGATTTGTTCCCAGATTGGGGGGTTTAAATTTTTGATGTTGTTGATGTGATTTTCCTCGCATTTGTCTTGGGTTGTTTTGTGGAGATTCAAGGGAAAGATTAATTTTGCAAATCTGATAGAGACATTAAAATTGCTGCCTTTTTATAAATTCAGTTAGACCATGCATCTAAAAAACAAGCTGTAAACAGAATTTTTTGCCAATCTTGTGTTTACTGTTAGTGCCGGGTACCCCTTGAAGAGCCCAGAACAGCAAATCTTCCATTTTCTCCCAACAAGTGCTTCCATCTCAGCCCACATATGCAGCTAAACCTGGCCCCAGTTTCTTTACTGGAGGACTGTGAGTTGCAGGGCTGATGTGGTTCCCCCTGGCTGGGAGACAAGGATCAAAGGAGGAATGGCACACTACAGAACAAGTTCAAAGCAGCATGCTGGGTTTCTGTGCAATGACAGTGTCCTCAGGAATTAAGACTGTACCAGACAGCAGCATTTCATCTGTGGAGCACAGTCACCATCAGGGATTTAAACAAAGATTTGGCTGTTAGGATGACAGCTCACATGCTAGAAACAAGAACCCCAAAGCTTTTTGCTGCATTGCCTCCCCAAAGCAGACATGCTTTGATATCTTTGATTTATGGGCACCTTCATCAGCTCCTACCCAGCCAGGCACACCCCTCTCTGCACCTCTCAAGGCACTGATTTTCCTTCTGGGCTGCTCGAGGCTCTGTGCACCAACATTATATCCCCATGCCCTCTCCACATGGTCCTCAGCACCACCTCTCATCTCCAAAAGCTCAAGCTCTTCCTCACTGAGGAAGTCTCTGGAGGATAATAACAACAACCCAGAACTATTTCTGTTCTTCCTCCCCTCTTTTCCTCCCCAGGAGCACTGGGGAGATTGCCCAGAAGTGATAAGGAGTTCCCTGATGCAGCAAATTTTCCCCATCCTCAGGATACTTTTTCTGTGGTGCAATGAAGATCATCTGGATGGATGGCTTGGGAGGATGTCAAGGGTTTATCCCAGTGTAATTTCTCCTCTCAAAGGACTGAGGAACAGCCACTGCATGACATTCAGAAAGCTTTCAATCCAAATCTCTCTTTCATAACTCAGGAAGCCACTTGGGAAATGGAGTTCAGGTTAACATTTTGACCTTTAGCTAGCAAAGCCATATTAGTGCAAGAAAAGGAGGCATCAGCCAGAAGGTTCACTTGAAGAAGTCAGCTATTCAGTGCTGTTCACTGTCTCCCCAGAAATGACAAGATGTCTTTCACCTCTGAGAACCACTTCACAATAACACCTAAAAATTCTTCCCATTTCCAAAAAAATATGTAATATATAATACTCTGTTTTTATACATGGTATAAAATCTAAGATTCTCAGAAGACTAAAAAATTGCTTTACTTATTGATGTAGGTAGCAATTATTGGAAGTGTTTGCTAGAAGCCATATTTTGGAGTATGCACATTTTAATGCTTATTTTTTAAGATTAAAATTATTCATGAGTAAAATCATTCTGGGACAAAATGTAACACTCCACCCAGCTCCCCTCCATGGCCTGCCTTCAAAGCCACTTGGGAAAATGTCTCTCTGCATGACCTTCCAAAGTGTGCAAAGACATTTCATTTTTCTATTTTTTGATTGCATATTTATTTTCCTGTAACACTTATTTTTAATAAGTTGGTGTCAAACCAAAAAAGTTTCACTTTCTGAAAAGAGGAAAACTATCCCAAGAAAACATTGTTTCAAAAGCAATGTTTCATTCGACCTCAAAATGGAAAATTCCTTAGTTTTATTTTAAATATAAAATTTTGGGGCTTCAAAATATTTTTATATGTCAATTTATTTTTTTCCAAATTATTTTCAGGTATGTTTTTCATCAAATTCACCTAGACACCAATAAATTTTAAAGAAGCATAAATATATATATATATGTATTTATTGAATAAATGTGGATGTCTGAAATTATTTGACCAGTTCTATTCCCTGGCATCCAAACCTACATGCAAATTACTGGAAGATGGGCTACTCTTGCACTGTGGAAAGATCCACCACTTACTATTTTGTTGTTTCTACTTCAAAACAAGACACCTCAGCATCTTTTCAGCTTTTACACCACTGAAATAATCTGAATTAAACTTGTGGGGGTTTTCCACACCAGGTTCAAAAGAGAGACCTGTGGAAAAATTTACCTACACTGCCACGTTGCTTGAATCAGAATCACAGCAAAGTATGTGCCCTGAAAATGTCATCTCTCCCAAAAAAATCCTTCAAAAGAAATACCAGTCCCTCCCTCCCTCTCCATACCTCACATAATGCCTTTGATCTTCAGCTGACTAGGGTTTATTGCTAAAATTTGTTGAGTTTTTCATTGTCTTGCTAAAAAGTATTTTCTTCAATGACAGCCACATTTAATCCCTCCCAGAATAAAGCACACGCGTGCAAATCCCACTCCCTTTTAGGCCTCATCCCATGAGAGAGTTTGAAAATTTTGTCTTCTTTCTTCAAGCTTTCATCCAGGTAGAAAACCAAAAGAAAGCACATGGTAATTGCAAATATGTGACAAAATATTTTACTACTGCTTGGTGGGAATATGCCTTTTGAAAGCAAACAATAAATTGGCTGAGTAGAAATACACACACACAATACAACCATATAATTGTATAATCCAGTATGGGGAGCAAAATAACCTCCTGCTCTGGCTCAGATTTAACGCTGTCCTCACCCTATTCCCAGCACTGCTTTCAGTGACAACTCAGCATCCAGGGGGTCTTAAAAACAGACAAGCCAGTCTGGCAGCAAGCAAAATGCAAGCTACTACTAAGGTCTTTAACAAGAAATGTCTTTCAAGACCTCCCAGTCATTCTTTCCATCACAGTGCACAAGCTCCCAGACTCCGATGTTTAGGCTGAACTTCTACACCAGTTTCAACCTGGCTGGGCCGAGAAACTTCAAACAAAAGCAAATTCCCTGAAATGACACGGCCATGTACTGCACTGATGCCTCAGGTTTAGTTTTTATATTTTTCAGATTCTGTGTTGCTTTAGTGTGTAATTCTGAGCTTCATATTAGGGGATGGTGAGCTCTCTGCAGAGAGCAGGGAGACAAAACAATTCCTTCTCTAGCTGGGGACCAATCCAAATTTCAGGCACAAGAGCACAAACAATGTGGGCTGAAGAGAGAAAAACAAGCAGGATGGGACTTCATAACCTAAAGCTCTATTTGGACAATTAACTCCAAGATGCAAGTGGAGTAGAACTGATCCAAGTAGAGCAGTTGTGCATTTTGGGACCATTTTGTTTCATCTTGGGTGCAGCCCTGGCTGGGCTCTGGTGCTGCCCAAGGCTGATCCCTTGAGGAGATCCTTTTAATAAATCCCTGCTTTATTCTTTAACTCTGTTCTAGCTCAGCCTTCACAAGGCATTAACACAAGGCTCTGTGCTGGCCATGCCTGGAGACTGCATCACACAAGCACATTCCATCTTATTTCCCTCTTAGTACAACAGCAAATTTCCCAATTTCCTCATTCACCTAAAGGGAAGCAAGAGGATTTGGCCTAAGTTTCCTTGTAACAAGAGAAATCTGCTGAATTTCCCATCATATCTCAAGACCTCTGCATGCTGTGCCTCAGGCGTGTCCCCTCCCTTTCTGAGCTCAACAAACCTCTCAGGATGGTGAATAAAGGTGGGCTACCAGCACAGGCCCATCCTGCACAAGAATCCCAGTTCTGCAAGAGCTGGTAGAAATTTCAGGGCCCTTCCAAGTCCAGCTACACAAAGGTTTCCCATTGTCATGGTTTGCATGCAAAGCTTTGCATCACTTCTCTAAATGTCTCTCATGCCAAACCATGACACCCATGTGCTTGCAATTAAACATTTGATTGTCCTCTGACCTGTCCTCACTGCAGGATCAGGTGGTGACAGAAGACCTAAGTTGTTGTTGTCATTCCCCTCTTTATTTTTCCTAATACTACCACCAAAACCATCACATTTCCTATTAAATTTTGACTTGAACCAAGACTGCATGCAGCTTTGTGACTTGCACTCCATTAATCCAAGTGTCCCATTTTCCCATTTGTGTCCACCTCAGGTGGCTCAAAGCCCCAGCATCAAACCTTCCAAATGTCAGCAAAGGACTGGTAGTGGGAAGCACAAGAGATATTTCACATTAGCTGGCTAAATGCCATGACATGTACTGTATCCCTAAGACCACCATTGCCCTTTCTTTCTACCTCCTCCACCTCAGAAGTGAAAACATAACCTCTCCATTGCCCCTTTTGAAGCTAAAAGCAACTCAGCAAGCAACACTCATTGTCTAAATGTGACTTGTTTAATCTGGCACCCGTGAAATGCAGGTATGACAAGCATTCTACTGCAATAACTGGGAGAATTAGAGTTCCTTAATCTATCTTCAGTCAAAACAAATAAATGTGTTTTTT